TATATATATCACAAGAAACATATCTTTAAGAAGAAATATGGCCACAATTTGAATTAAATATATATATATATATTTGTATGATTTTTACAAATTGTATAACTGATTGAATAACTTCTAATTTTTTTTATTTTTTATTGTAGAAATAATAAAAGAATTGCTTTGTTTCCGCACAAAAATGTATGGTCCGGCTTTGACACTAATATCAACTAAAATTATTGCAAAAAATGAATTCAAGGGAGTTCCTTGTTAAAAAGAAACTTTTTGTATACATCTAGCTTTCAACTAACAAACATTTTTCCCATTGAAATGGCCATTGCACAAGATTTCTACATGTGCCTGCACAATCTTCAAAGGCAAATTCCTACTTGGTTTCATACATATTTATAGGCTAAGCAAATCTAAATATTACTCGAAAGATAAATTTCTACCATATCAATATTAACAACATATAATTAATTGTGAAAAGTTGAAACTCTAGCATAAAATATGCCATAAACATAGTTCAGCTAAACTCTAATAACAATTATTGTGCAGCACGTAGATGAAATTTACACTACATGTTGCACCTAAATCTTAAAAGATAACAATTCCTTCTTTTTTTTTTCTTTGAATATAACTCTAAGAATATGAACTCTAGGGAGGGTAGTTCGATTGCCCATTTTAAGCATGATTTAGGCAAAAATTTTATAAGTAACATATGATGTAACATACTCAAATAGATCATGAATTTAATAAGATTATTCATATACCAACTGAAGTAGTGATTTATTAATTACACACTAATTGGGGTTTAGAAAATTGCTTCCTATCATCTTCCTTAGCATATTTCTATTGGAGGTATGCTCATCTTTCATTCACATCTTTCCTCATGTCTTCAGTCAAACCAGTGTTGTTTAAATTGCATCAAGACTAGTCTCATTGGCAAACTTCTTTGTAGTTTGATGCCAACCTCATGCTTAGTACAGTCAATATGCAAACTCATTTTTTATTTTTTTTCTCTTCATTATTATTTTTTTAACTCATAAAAAGGCATTAATAGCATCATGTTCTAAAAGATGTTGTATTTGCAACATAAAATTGCTTTCTTCTATCAGCTTAGAAATATGTTAGCACATTGGAGCCTTCACATACTAGAAGTATGTGTACTGTTGAACAAATGATGAACTTCCAGAAGAAATTAGCCCACGCAAATGGCTATCATCAAAATTGTGAGTTTTCCCAGATTATTTTGAAATGATTAAGTTGTTAGCTTATCGCATAATTGTGCTCATCATGGTATTATTTTGATGACTTAACATTTGGATGCCCCAACATGATATTCTATGTCATCATCCAAAGAAACAAAAGTTTCTACAAAAACATCATGGATGTTGTCGTAGCCATTGATACCCATTTTCTTGTCGCCGCTCTGCAAGAACATCAAAATTGTTACCATAATAAAAAAAGAATCATGACCCAAAATGTCATGGCTACAAACCTATTTTTAAAGTCAATTTTCAAGCGTACTAAAATATCAATTGACAGTAAGACATAAAAAATGTGGCACCATAATAGAAAAGCTCAACATCAACAATAAGTGCAATGACATGAGCTATAAAAGAGGGAGGTTTTTAGATTTCAACATAGCCAATGTACCTTTATAGGGATAAGCAAACACGCATAAGCACCACGTAGCTTTTAAAGGCTGCAATTATCAACTTATTGACTATGATAAGTGGGTGCAACAAAAATACAGGCATGAAGTACAGCATAAAGAATATATAGTTATTGTCATGTACAATTTAGAAATATAGTTCAGAGAATAGTTGGAATCTGTTAAGAAAAAATTTTAGGACCCAATACTTATGCAACAATTCCCATTGCATGTATAGGGACATTGTAATTATTTTTGTGATCTTACATAACTTCATAGTACAATAACAGGACAACGATATATACTTCCAAGGCATGTCCGGGATTTGAGAGACATTGAGGTAGATAATTATGAACCTAACTAAAAGCTGATATATTATGCCATAGAAAGGCAACAAATAATTTGCGCCGCATTTACATAATGTGTTTACATACATAGTTAAAATTCTTAGCACTATATTTATTACATTATCAATCCTTATCATTGAAAACAATTTAAGGGACAACAACATCCTCAATGTTCAAGGCAATTAGTGCTAAATATGAGCAAATCTGGCATTGAGGATGATAATTAGGCATACCGTTTTAACATAGCTCATTTTAAATGATGTTAGAGTGTTTTACTATTAAATTATCAATTAGTATTATTTTATCATTACATTAAACTTTCTACCTAATGAATATATTTATCATTGTTTCATCATTACAATCTTACATTCAATCCAACACTTTATAATCTCATAAGAATATGTGTTATGAAATATCGCAATGCCTTTGCGGAGTGGAGGCTATAATTTTACACTACATTGCCTTTGTGGAGTGGAGGCGAAGCTTTTACAATATGTGGGAAGAATATCATGCAAATGTAAATGGCATACAAGGATCCTTGTATGAACCTAGCAAGTTCGCTATGGTAATGATATTGTCAATACTTTTTCAAGGTGAAAATGTTTTAATGTTGCTATAGTGGCAAATTGTGAGCTTCAGCTACTATATCTAAAAGATTTATTTAAATACAATGGAGCACAAAATGGTTGCATATTTTTTCTTCTTAGAATTTAAATTATTCCAATCCAAATAGTTAGAAGGTTTTCCTAATTATGATACTCATGGAAAATCACATAACTATAAATTTGAAAATATTTGAACAACAACAACAAGCCTTTATACCACTAAGTGGGATCATTTACATGAATCATTTTTTCTCCATTGTGTCATATTGAGTATCATATCTTCATTTAATTATGATAATTCAAGATCAGTTTTATATAACATGCCCAAGTCATTTTAGGTTTACATCTACCTCTCTTAACAGAAGTCGAATCTAAAACATCTACTCTCCTAACCGGATCATCAGATCGTTGACATTTAAGTGTGTCAAACATCTTAAGACGGCTCTCTCTAATCTTGTCTGCTATTGGAGATACACCAACCCTTTCACAGATGTATTTGTTTCACATTTTATCTCTAAGTGTCAAGCCACTCATCCACCTAAGCTTTATCATCTCAACAACACTTGACATATTTTTATGCTTCACTTTCAAAGGCTAACATTCTACGCCATAAAGCATTGCAAGTCTCACCACCATGTGATAAAATTTTATTTTAAGTCTTAAGTGGTACACACAATAGGCCTGACGCATTCCTCAACTCTAAGAGAATATTCTAGCTGAAAAAAATCCAAGGAATGAAATATATGTGTTCAAGAATTTAATTTAAGTTCATTGATTTAGGAAATCAATACAATTATTGGAGATTTAGGCTTTTTTGGGGGAAACTACAGCTTATTAAAAAGCAGTTGTGAAGTTGCTGAAAAATCAACTGATATTCAAAAAGCTGCGGTAGCTATTACAAATTTTTTTTAAAAAAGTTAGACCACATATAGAGAACTGTCACCCCACCTAGCCAAGATCTGTGAGAAAATGAGATTTCAACGGCAGCTTTTTGAAAAAACTGTAAAAACGTAGTTTACCCAAATAGACAAAACTGCGGTGTGGTGCCGCACCGCCACCCCAAACGGACCCTTAACAATTGAATTAATTGGAATGCTAAAACCTTCAAAATCACATTAAATACCCATATCATACAAACAACAATCAATCCTGAGACTTGACAGGATTTAAGATATGGGCAGTCAAATAGTCATCGGGATTTGTACCATAAAGATTTACTAAATCCAACAAAAATAGAATTTATAAAATTTGGATTTTGGATTTTTTGAAAAAAGTGTCAAAACGCAGTTTATCCAAACAGACAAAACTGCGGTGCGGTGAATGAAATGGAATGCTAAAACCTTCAAAATCACATTAAATACCCATATCATACAACCAACCCCCATATCATACAAACAACAATCAATCCTGAGACTTGACAGGATTTAAGATATGGGCAGTCAAATAGTCATCGGGATTTGTACCATAAAGATTTACTAAATCCAACAAAAATAGAATTTATCAAATTTGGATTTAAAAATATCCTACTTAGAACTAAACAGGCAGAAAGGAAGTGCCGGTGTATGATGTAGCATTATCAAATTAAAGTAAAAATGATCAGTGATAATGATTTAAGTTAATTTGGGCGAGGCGATATGATCCAATGTGCAAAGAATTCTCACATTCAAATTCTGTGTTCCAGTTGTTCATAATCACGAATAAAACCGGTGAAGAGCATGTATAGGCCGGTACAAGCCCTAAATGCAGAGAATAGCCCACTTTCACCAGACAATAGATAAATATTAAACTCGCATTCCCCCTTTAAGAAATTGGCAATTGCATTTTTCAATACACAGTGCATTAGAAACAAAAGAGATATATGATAGCAAAAGAAACCGGATTACGAAAATAACCTCTTCAGCCGTAACCCCAACGTCCTTCTGCTGCTGCTGCCCTACCACTCCCCATGCGGGCAGAACCGGCGCGCTCTTATAGTAGTCGTCATCATCGTCGTCGACATCGGCCCATGACTTGTTCAGCGGCGTAGGTACCCAGAATACCTGTGACGGCTCCGGTTCCTTCTCCTGGGTCGTAGACGATCCCTTGCTTTTCGAAGGTCCCTTACGATCCTTAACCGAAGTCTTCTTTTTCTTCTTCAGAGTCTCGAGCGCCGCGAACACATTCTTGCTGCTTATCCCGGGGGCCGCATCGTCCCTCCTGACACCACCTCCGACCATTTCTAGCTCGGATTTCGATAAGCCACTGCCACCAGATCCACGTTAAGTTGTCGCGTTAAATACAAAAAGCAGCGATGCAGCTTCAATTCTTTGCAGCTATATTACTCTTCCCGGCCGAGATAGCGGATCGGATGCAGAGAAGTAGGATAGGCGTAGCTAACAAGATCGAAGTTCACAGCGTTGTATAAGAGCAGCTAGGGCATGAGGACTGACCGATTAAGCTAATGCAAGGCAAACCGGGAGATTAGAATTTAGGGCGGATGCCGTTTCAGATAACGTTAGGGATACGGAAACAGCGATTTTTTTGACGTCCACGACAACTTCTATGCCCCTCTCGATACCGACCTAATCATATTGGCACCTAAAGTTTTTGCAAACACATGTAAAACTGTTCGATTCATATATATATATAAAAGAAAAAACATCTTAATTTATAAATCATTAAAATACTCATATATATATATATATATATATATATAGTAAAATGTATATATAGGTGTATCTTACTATTTTACTACTTAGTAAAATGGCTTCTCATTTTCCCCCATTTTGAATTATAGTCTTTCTTTTTAATTTGAACTGGTGATTTTACAATATCTAATAAATAAATATTAATTAATGAACTATATTACTATTAATGAATTAATTAATACTTATTATTTTAGGATCCATTAGTTTTTATATTCCAACTTATCATAATTGTTTACTATTTAATGTATGATATTAATTGACAAATATATATTAATTAATGAACTAATATTTAATTAGACTGAAATCTAATAAGTATGATCATGAGAATATGAGAAGGCAATCTTACTAATAGTACTGAATCACATAATAAATCATAACTTTTCATTTTAATTCGCTTACATAATTTCAAACATAGTCATCTAATATTCAGTACATAAATATTAATTAATGAATTATATTTTTATTACTTATTAAATGAATACTTACCATTTCATAATATATGACAATTGCAATTTTAGGTTATTAAATTTTTTTTCTACTTAAGTTCTTATATTATTTAAAAATGTATATTTAGTTAATCAACTAATATTTAAATAGATTGAAGTAAAAAATGCATCATCAAAAGAATATGAGAAGACAGATGCCTTGACTTATAATAAATTCTAACTTACCATTAATTATTAACTCTTCTTTTTTGCTATTGATCTATAAAATCTCTTGCATTACCATGAAGAGTTGTGTTCTTTTAAAATATGATATTATTCTTTTATGATTATTGAATTGAGTATTTATTAAAACTTTATATCATCTCCAATTCTTTTTTATCTTACATTAATTTTGTTTGTCACTACTTAGCAGTGTTTCTCTCATTTTTTTCTATTTTTCTCAACTTAATTTAAATCAAATAGTATATTAATTTGAGCTTCAAATTATGAATTCAATAAAAAATTGTATTCTTATTATTATCATATTGAGTTATTTTTTATTCCTAATGTTTTTTTTTTAATTTTTTCATTAGCAATTCTTTTTAGGCAAAATATTTAATTACAACATGCTTAAGGATTTAATTATGAACCAAAGCAAAAAATAAAAAAAATAGGAATGATCAGTACACATCAACACAAATTTAAAAAATAATATTCTAGAATTGATAACTCTCCCTTTATTCCTCACATATATACTTTATTTCTCCACATATCCAACCTATTAGCCCCCTCTCCCCTCCCCTGCTTCTCCACTCATTAAACTTTTTTAAATAAGGTATGATAGAGAAAGAAAAATAAATAAATAAGGAAATGATGAGTAGGTTTAATGAGAATCCATTAAAATCATTAAAAGATTTAACAAAAAAAATTTAAAATATCATAAAAATAATATAATGTTATTAAAAAATTTTGGTTTAGTAAAAAAGAAAAAGGATAAGAAAATAAAGTAGAATTAATGAAAATTTTATGTTTAAATTATATACATTAAAAGTAATTAAGAAATTTAATAAAAAAAGTTTAAGGGTTTATTTAATGAAAATTTTTAGATTAACTAAATTCTTAAATTAATTAAGACATTTAATAAAATTATTTTGAAATAACATTAAAAATAATATAATGAGTATTAATTTATATTAGTAAAACTTGGTTTGTCAGAAAAATAAGAAAAAAAGAAAAAAATCAAGTAGATTTAACAATTATTTGCTAATGGAGCCTGTGAAGAGACCTAAGTGCGACTATGACTGCTATCAATCAATGCTTTTTTTGTCATTTTAGATTTACTTAGCATATATTAATATCTTCAATTGTTACTGAAAGATTACATTGAACTTTTAAGGATAAGTGAAAAACCTTAAAAAAATGGAAAAACACATTTATTTTAGTGTATAATTTTTTTTATTAATATACTTCAATGCCTCAAATTATGTTGTTCATGAGAATTTTTGTCTAAAAGATTATGACTTTAATTGATTCAAGGCTGTGTGCTTTTTTCTTTTCTTTTTTTTTTGCTTATGTTATAGCTAAGGTCGCTATAGAGAGTGATTTTGGCTTCTTGATTTCATTTATTAATACTCCAACAAGCTTAACAAGAATTTTTCACTAGTTCAACATGAAGATCACAAAGGACAGGTTCATAAATCAAATAAAAAAAGGATGTGACACTTGAAGAAAACATAGGTAAGTGTAGATAATATAAGATGAGTACATAAATGAAAAATAGAAAGGGGATATGACTCGTGAAGATAACATTGGACAAGTAATGATGTCAAATAAAATTTATTGCTTCTACTGATGATTCAGTTGATTATAAGAGTAAGTTGATATGTTGTGTCTTGGGTCAGCTAGAAGCCATAATTCTTATTATTGTGCATAGTTAATTCATAAATAATATTCCTATAACGACACACCTAAGATTTCCTTGTCTACATCTAAAACTTGATGGTAGAAGCTCTGTAATGCTAGAGGAGTGGTTGTGGTAGGCTACCTAGATTCGTTATTGATGACATGAACCTCTTTGTTGTAGTTGTGTATGTAAATCTAAATGGTATATCATTGATTATTGTAAGATAGATAATTCAACATTTTTAAACTCATTGTGAAAATGATATGTGTGCAAGGCAAATGGTAGATCTGATGTTAATAACAGTTGCAAATAATATCATCAACTATTAAATCCACTTGATATGAATGGCTTGCATTATCAAATACATTAAATCCATGCATGTCTATTGATACACCAAAATAATATACTATTTTAAGTACCTATTTTATATTTATTTTTGGTGATATTGCACTTTAAAAAGGGTATTTTGTTTTTTGTTGCAGGTATTTCATTTTTAGGCATTTGGAGCAAAAATGCCAAAAAGGACAAAATTTGGAGCAAAAAGAGCCAATTTTGGGTTTTGGCGCATCATGTGCCAGATTGGCGCATGATCGCCAATATCCAGAGAGGTGGTGAATCATGCGCCAGATCGGCGCATCATGCACTAGGGATGACTTTTTCAAATTAAGGCTGTTCAAGACGAGCGAATTTTCAAAGGGGCACTTTTTCTACACACCCTTTGGAGTGATTCAATGCATCTAGACACTTTGAAAGGTTTTTTTATGAAGGGATATGACTCTAAGATCAAATGACTCTAAGATCAAAGACTCTAAGATCAAATGACACATCTTTTGAATTCAAAAGAGTTGACTTTTGGAGGGAATTTTGGAGGGAATTTTAAATTTTTTTTTAAAGGAGGCAGCTCAAAATAAAAGAAGAAGACTTGAAGAACTTCTAAGAGGGGGACGAAAAGAGGTTTTGGTGAGTGGCGTGAGAGTTAGAGAGAGAGAGTGAGAAGAGGATATTTTCTTCTAGGTTTGTAAGAGGAGAGAGAAGGTGAGAGATTTCTTCTTCATTACATTTCTATGAGAGAATTGGGAGTGTTTGTAAAGAGAGAAAGGCTTGGAGAGAACTTCTAGGGATTTATTTAGGAAGGATTGTGAGATAAGTTGTATTTTTATTTCTTTTTATAAACACGTTTTTATATATGAAATTCGTGTTTTATCGTATGCTTCTAATAAATTCTGAGGAGTATTCTTTATCCTTCTCCCTGCTTTGAAGATACGGTTTTGTGACGAATAGATTTTATTTTTAATGGTTTTAAATGATAATAATTTGTGATGATTTGAACTCTGGTCTTCATTTACATTTTGATCTGGCTAATTGAAATGTTAAAATTTATTGAGAGACATATGTTCTTAAATGAGATATGATTTCTACATCATAGGGAGAATCACATTAGATTTCATGGGAGAGTATGTCATCCCATGAGATTGGGTGCAAATAAATAAGGAAATATACTTTTGTTGAATGTAGAATTGAAGATTTTAAGATGACAGATTGAAACCCCCAATTTTTTTCAGTTGATTGGAAACTAATGTGAGATTGTTAGCCCTCAAGGGAGGGAGTAGTGGGAGCTCTGGAGTGGCAGCTGGTATCCTCCCAGCCTAACCACGAAATTAGGGACCAAACTCTAGATTATTCAATGTTCTTTATAGCACTCAGAAGAGGGTAAAGAATAGGATTGCTCCTATTTGACACAAAACTGTTTTTATATATATTTTCAAATGATTTAAATTTATTCACAATCCATATACCATTGTAAAGAGGTAATGATGTTATCTTAAATTTGAACTTTCTGTCACAACAAAAACTTTGTTTAATTTTCGCAATTTTATTTCTGAAAGTTTAGTATTTAGTTTAGTTTAATATCAGTAATCTTACATCTGCATTTTAATTAGCATTCATCTGAATAGTCAATTTTTAAATTTCGCACTTTAATTTTATTCTTTTATTTTTATTATAAAATAATTTTCAAAATTTAATTTAGGATTTTCCAACTTCTCTATAGGATCGATATCTAGAACTCCATTAGAGCCCTTTATTACTTGAATGATACACTTGTGTTGATATTTAGGAGAGATTTGACAGTTTAAAAAAGAGTTTTAAAGGATAAATTATATTTATAAAAAGTGTTTTGTTATGATTATATTGCATATTTATTATAAATCTGCTTGCATCGAGTTTTTGGTGTCGTTAAGTGTTGTCAACTTCATAAATATTTGCATATACAAATCTCCCGTGTCAAGTTTTTGGCGTCGTTGCCGAGGAAGTAATGAAAAATATTAGTATTTAATTTTACTTTTTTTTATTTCAAAAAAAAAAATAAAAAAAAAGAAAGAGGGTGTTTGTAGTTTATTTGGAACATTTTTTTATTTTAGTGTGTTTGCTTATTTTTAATTACTTATTTTATTCAGTTTATGCAAAGCGTAAGATCTGAAAACTTAGTACCTTACGACTTTGAGTTAGAAAGAACTTAGAAAACTTTGAAAACAACAAAAAGAGAAAGATCAGTTTAGCAAAATG